CTGTGCTGCTTAATTAGTGGTTCTGGGTGGGACAAGGGTACCTATGTTTTTAAAAAGCTTCCCAATTTTGATATTCTCTGCTTTTTGAAAGCCATTGTTATAGTTCCACCTTCTCATTTTTATAGATAGGGAAACTAAGGTCCAGAGAAATGAAAAATGCCCTGTTTGGCCACTCTCTGTTTGAGAACTATTTCTTAGGTGTCATTAAAGGGGTTAGCTGGAAAACTGACATATTTGTATGTATTATCTAGCCCAATTCCTTAAGTTTACTGATGAAGAAACTGAGATGCTAAAGATGGAGAATGATGTGCCCAGTCAGTTATATAAGTCATATAGTCATATAGTAAGTTAGTTATATAGTAAGTCACAGAAAAGGGGGGACTAGTACTAAAGACAGTATTTCTAACTCTCAACTCAGTGTTCTTTCCCGTCAGACTGGAAAGAAAACAGAGCAAGCAGAGTTCATTGGCCACTGGGACTCTATGCAGGAGGGGCCTAGAGGGACAGGGGAAGGCTGTAGGTGACCCCCAATCCCAAGCCTTGACTCATTCTTATTGCCTCTGGCTCTAAATCTCTGGTTGTCAATGCCATCACTAGAAGAGGATGTCAGCATAGGCTTTAAGGAAAGGTGGTCAAGGCCCAAAAGAAAAAGTTGGAGGCCTGTTGTAGGAGGGGCTTACAGGAGACTTCAGCCTGAGGGTTTCTCCTCAGCTAGCACAAGGCGGAGGTCCAGAACTAGGGCTGCAGTGTCACCATCCCAGAGTGTTTAAAATTCTTTGATAGCTGTTAATTAGGGCTAATTAGGGCTGGCTACTCTCAACCCCATCCCTAGTTCCCAAAGCCTGACACATAGCTACTTCCCTCCAAATCAAAGATCACTGGCCTATCTTTTAGATGTATCTGAAATCTCCATCTCCAGGAAGCCTCCTAGACTGAAATTTCCTGAAACCAGCAGCCCTTCCCCTTCTCCATTGTGGGGGAGGAAGAAACTTTCTTCTACCTCAGGTTCTTTTGGCTCATTTAATAATCAAATAGACGTGACACAGATAAACAAGAGAAAATAACCAAATTTATATATTCATATGCATGGGAACCCCACATACATGAGAGGTTCAGGGACAGAAAGTTAAAATGAAGTATATATGGCATTCTGAGCTAAGGATGAGGTGAAGTGCCTTGGGGGCTTCAGGGGTCATTGCAGGATGATAAAGAGAGCAGATGTTTAGAAATTAAAAGTTTGTCCTGCCCTATAGATAGGTCATAAAAAGTTATTTCTGGTAATAACTCTTATTATGTGCAAGGCTTCTAATATAAATTCTTCAAGGGAGAGGTAAAAGTTTCTCATGAGCCTTCAGGGTCTTGATTGCCTTCAGCTCAAAATAATTCACATGCCAAGTGGCACATTTTCAGGAGGCCTGTTCTGAATCCCTACAGTTCTCTTTTCTAAAGAAGTTCCACATTCCAGAAGTTTTGGCACACTATTGGCATTAAAGCTTAATTTGGAAAAAATTTCGAATCAATTCATTCAATCTTATCCACCTTGATCACACATAAAATTTCCTCTCTTAAGACTCCTTTTCATAAGCTTTCTACAACTTTCTGGGTCCCTTTTAGTTTGTCTCTTGTTCTCTTAACCAATTTAGAAATAATGAGTGCAAAATTACTCCATTTCCCTTAATGAAAATACATCTCCATACCTCATACTGTTTTTGTTGTTGTTGTTTTTTGTTGTTGTTTTGTTTGTTTGTCATTGTTGTTTTACAAATAATTGCCTTTATTAAAGAAGATAACATAGAGGTGTGAAGAATACAAATTATCAAGTCTTAATTAAAAAAAAAGAAAACTAAGAAAAATGGCCGTGGACATGATGGCTAAAAAATTTACAAATATAGTTAATCAATTAAAGCCAAACATAACCTATTTTTCTGATATACAGTTATTTTACCTATTATTATTATTTCTTTGTAGATTTAATTACATATATTAGAACTCTTAACCTTTAAAAACCTCAATTTCTAGTGAAACTGAGAAGTAAGCAATTGTGAACTATCTGCTACACCAATATTCTTTTAGAGTGATATATTTATAAACACATTTCATAATTTCTAGAAATATATACTTCCTCATAGTACAATTTTTTAATGTGGCACAAAACATGTTTACTAATAGACCCAAATATCTTTATAGTTTCTCTACAATAAGAGGCACAAAGTAGGTAAATCTATGTTAAGTAATTAATATTTTATTATTTTATCTTATTTGGAGATAATTTAGACATTCAGTGAATTTAACTTGACTTGTCATTTAACTTAGCAAAGTTCTAAGGTTTCAAGTTACCAAAAAAGTTTTAGGAAACCACTTTTAAGTACACATACAATATAATTATTGCTAAAGAGTTCACCTAAAAATAACTTTTTACGTTACATTTATTTAATTTATTTGTTCTTAACCATTATGTTTACATTACTTATGAAAATTTCATCATATCGAGTTATTTTTCTTGCTGACAAATTTTGCAACAGAGATAACATGAACCTATTTGATTAATAAATCTGTGTAGAGTAATTAAAAGTATTATACTTAATGTTAATAACTCTAAAGAAATGCCTATTTAATCAAACAAAACTCAAACTAGCTTTAATATCAAATATTTTCCCAGGTCAACTGATTCTGAAAAGCATTTGGATTAGTTTCTGTTGTATTTTTTGAGAATTCTTATATAAGTGCTTGTTTGTTTAAGCCAATTAAATAAAGCTCTTTTTATAAATTAACAATACTATCTGAAAGTAGAAAAGACCACACAACAGAGACCTCCTAGCCTTCATCTTAAAATTACTGCCATTTCAATAATACTGTAATAACTGTGTATGGTGCCAGCTGGGTACTAGACTTATCAGGGGGATCACACTGTAAATTATATAAATGTCTAACCACTCTGCTGTACACCGAAACTAATATAATATTGAATGTCAACTGTAATTGGAAAATAAATAAATAAAATTACTGCCATGAGTATGATAATGTAAAAGAATAGTTGCATCCAAACTGTGTTTCTGGCATATGGAATAAATTAAGTTTAACTATATATGGTGAAAGCTTTTTCTTATTAGTATTTGTGGAGAAAAATAATTAAGATTCGTATTTATCCTTGGCAAGAGAGACTTGGAATCCGAGAAGCTGTTTGTGCTTGGAAAAAAAACCCTCTAGTTTCCCATTTTCTTCAGCCTTAGGAATTGGAGATGAGAAAAATAGGTGGGCTTTAAATTGCTTCTAGAGCTACATTTCTAGTTTTGCAAAGATTTGTAAGAAAAGAATAATTACTCTCAAAATTGGGATCTAACTTAAGTGATATCATAGGTTGATCTATTTGTCTAACTCAGATTTTTAATTTGCATCTTTTCCTCTGAGTACATAGCTTTAGTTTAGCTTGGGGAGGAGGCTCAAAGACTCTACATACATGAGAAGTTTAGGGACAAAAAGTTAAAAAGAGCTATATATATGGCATTCTGAGCTAAGGATGAGGTGAGGTACCTTGGGGACTTCAAAGGGTCATTGCAGGAAGGTAAGAAGAGCAGATGTTTAGAAACTAAAGGTTTGCTCGCCCCATAGATAGGTCATAAAAAGTTATTTCTGGTAATAACTCTTATTGTGGGCAAGGCCCCTAATATAACTTCTTCAAGGGAGAAGTAAAAGTTTCTCATGAGCCTGCAAGGTCTTTGATTGCCTTCAGCTCAAAATAATTCACATGCCAAAGTAGCATATTTTGAGGAGGCCTATTCTAAACCCCTACACCAGGGGTCCTCAAAGGCCCCAGACGGGTATAGGTTTAGAGACCTGTTAGGAACTGGGCTGCACAGTAGGTGAGTGGCAGACGAGCCAGTAAAGCTTCCTCAGTAAGCTTCATCTGTATTTGTAGCCATTCTCCAGCGCTATCATTACTGCTCCCCGTCTCCTCTCCCCAGTCCACGGTAATGTTGTCTTTCACGAAACCAGTCACTGGTGCCAAAAAGCTTGGGGACTGCTGCCCTACACATGTTGGGCTTGGAAGGTACCTTAGAGATCATCCACTCATATATGAAGAAATCAAAGCAAGAGAGGAGAAATGATTCCTCCAATCACATAGCATGGAAGTGACAAAACTGGCACTAGATCCCAGTCCGTGTGACTAGCTATCAGTTTGCCCATGAAATTCCCATGGTTCTGGACACTCTCAGTTCCAAATGTGCCTGTGTACCTTTAGTCTGTGTAATATCAACGTTAAATCTGCTGAAGTTGTATTTTTGGCAGAATTCACACACTCTCTTGGGTCCTTAAGTATGCTTAGGTCTGCCTGTGTGTTCTTGTGTGTGTTACAGTCATCTCTGAGTTATGAGAGGTGTGTGCTTAAGGGCGGTTGAGTATCTGTGTTTGTTATGGCTCCATGGGCTGCTCTGTGTGTCCATAAGTGTGTCTGTGTTTATGTTGAAGGATGTATGTTGACCTGTGGTTGTCGGTTTTGTATCTATGTACTTATTATGCCTAAGTGTAATTGTGATTCTGTATGTGCTTGAGTATATGTTGGGATTATGGGTCTATGGGCTGCCATGTACCTATTTATGTACCTTTTTTCATGTTGACAGTTGTATGTAAGCTACCATTGTGTGTCTATCTCGATGCGTTTGTACACAGTGAAGGTTGTAGGTCTACCTGTGTCTTTGTGGACTGCATGCTTAAAAGCTGAAGGAAACCTGTCCTTGCCTTTTATCCCAGGTTATGAGAAAACGTGTGTAGCCGTGTGTTCAGGACAGGAGTGTCTGTCTCTCAAGCAGTCTCGGTCCTCACTCAGGAACTGGCATTACGATCACTTTCTGGGATGCCTTGGCACTGCTTTCCCTGGAGGCGCGGCCTGTCGCCCCCTAGGAGCAGAAGCTCCTGGGGCCTGGCGGGCGTTTCCAGCAGTCCCCGCCCCCTTCCCATTCCAGCCCGCTCATTGGCTGTGTCTGCGGTTACGTTGTGGGGAATCGCAGAAAGACCCTCAGCGCCCGGCGCGCGGGAGGTATTGTCGGTCATCCCGGGCTTTGTTACGTCGTCGCATTCTCACCTGACCGCAGGCGCGTCCTGGCAGCTGCAGCCGGGAGAGGGGGACCAGTTGCCGTCGCCGCCGCCGTCGCCGCCATGGTGTCCCCGGTCACCGTGGTGAGTGAACGAGCAAGCGACCGAGCCAGTATCCGGCGCGGCCGGAGCCCACCGGCCTGGGAACTGGGCTACCGGCCTGGAGACTGGGCTAGGACAGGCCAAACTGCTGGGGGCCGAGGAAGGGCAGGGATCCCGCAGTGGCCGGGGTCCCTGGGCGGGAGGCGGTTGCTGTCAAGGCCCCCTGCTCCTCAGACTCGCGGCGCCCTTCCTCTGCGCCCCCCCCACCCCGCCCCGCTTGCTCGCGGGAGGGAGGGGCACAGTGGGCACGTGACTCGGAAGCGTGACTTTGTTGATCTCTGTGCGTCTGGCGCGGGTCGGCGGGGTCGCTGCTGGGGAGAAGGGGACAGCAGCGGGCCGCCGGGTTCAGCGTGAGCAGACCATCGGGAGGCGTGAGAGAGGGCGAGGGAGGGCAGGAGGGTGACTGGGACCTCCTGAGACTTCTGTCCCAAATTCGTTTCCTCCCTTTCCTCTTTTTATAAACAAGTCTGGGGCGGAGTAGGGGATGCTCCTGCGTCCAAGCATCACTGATAACACGCTGGAAGGAAAAGGGTCGTTCTCTATTGACACCTCTTCCTATTCAGACTTTCTCAACTCGAACCTTTGTCTCTTCCCCATCCTTCTTCTAGTGCTGGCTTCTCTTTGACTGTCAAAGGCTCCCCAACTACTTACTGCCTATTTTTCCTTCTAAGAAATATGGGGCTGGGGGAGAGGTGTAGAGCAGACGTTAATGCTTCCAAGGGCTGGCAGGTGGATGCTCGGGAGATCTGGGGACTGTGGAGGATGCACGTCTTCTTCAGTCTCCTCTTATGCCCCCTGCCCTGCCCAGCCTTGACGAGATAATCTCTGGACAAGGGGTTTAGTCATCTCTTCTCCCCGCTCTCACCCTGGCTGAGCAAAGGCAGGCTTGGACCCTGGAGCCACCCATCTTCCTCTTCCCAACCTTCTCCATCACAGCCTGATCAGTCCCCAGGTAACTGGTGGTCTGGAAGTCTGAGTGTGTCCCCAGAACCTTGTGCTAGACAGCTCACCCAGTCAGATGTACAGTCACTTTGGGCAGTGAGTACACAGGGCATCTCAGCTGCTCTGAATAGCTCTCAGAGACCTTGTATCAGAAGCCCAAGGAAAGCAGTTTCAGGGGATCACATATTCAAAATATTTGCAGCAGCCCCCTCCTTCAACTTGGAGGATGCCCACAGTATCCTTAGACACAACCTTTCTTCAGCTGCCCTCCCCCCTAATCTGGCTGAGACCAAGTCAGTTGTCTGACTTCCCTCTCTCAGTTCCCCATCTCCTCCCAGCCTGTCTGCTGGCTTCAGATCAAAAGCTAGGAAGAGAACCCCCACCCCTTCCTGCCTCTCTTTCTGATGTGCCTTGAATTGTTCTTACTCTCTGGGAAATGAGACTGACTGACCCGCTCCCTCCCAACCCCCAGATCCCTGAAATCATTGGAGTTTCAGGGACGGTTTTCCTTCTCCCAACTCATGGGTCCATTTCTCTAGCCAGCATCCATATCTCCTCTCCTTGCTCTTCATGGTTACCTTTAGGCGGGGGCTGCTGAAGTGGAAGCTGAGGAGCACACTGGCTGAGGAGAGAGCCTATGGGGGCGGAGGTGGTTGGCAGTGCCCCACCTCATGCATTCCTGGCACTCACCTGGTGTTGCCAGGGCCTTAAGCCTGCCTGTTCCCTGGCCTCACAGCTAAGGATCACGAGTTAGCCAGTTGTGGCGTCTCTGTGGTTTCCTGCTGGCTGCGCTCCATTCCAGACAGCTGGGGGCTGATGCTGGCAGAGAGGGGCTAAAGGGACTTTGGGGAGGGAGAGGAAGGGAGCAAGAAGGGAGAAGCATGGGGCTGCAGGAGGGGACACTATTCCAGGGTCTGTTTTCTACCCAGTGAGCGACTATTCTAGTCCTGCTCCAGGGCTAAGA